GGGGGGGGGGGGGGGGATGGTAGGTAGCTTGATGGCCATTAGTTGGAAAGCAATAACTTGAAATCATAGAAAAAATCTTAAAGGTCACACTACTTCAAAAAAGAACATTGCCTTATCTGTGAATCTTCCATGATGCGATTAAATCAAAGGCGGTTTTGTAAATTAGCAATTGATGAGATATATATATGTTCTGTAAACTAGGTTTTGTAGATCAACATGGTGATATATATAATGGATATAGTTTTTATTTGTATTTATATAGAATTACACATATGTACATGCATATGTGTGTAAAATATGTACAGATCTATATACATATATAGTAGAATATAACTCTTATAAAATATTATGGAATGTAACATAGAATAAGGGCTCGTTCGGTTACCTATATTGGATTAGATTGGATTACATGAAATTGGATTAACTCCCTACTGACTAATTAATAATTTAGTTAGTAGCATGTTCGGTTTCTTAGATTAGATTTTCTATTAAATTTGTTAAAATCGGTTATTATATATGAATTGTCTATAAAACCACTTAGTTTACAATAATAAAATATGATTTTAAGGATAAAATTGTCTTTTTCCTTTTTAATCACCCCTATTAAATTTATCTCAGGGGGAGGGGTGCTACTAATTTAAAGAAATAGTAGCATTTAATAGCGGGCTTTAGCGGACTTTGATTTTAGTAGCGGGTTTGAAAAAGTGTGAATCTTACCAACCGGACATGCTATTATCCCCTACTATTTAGTCAGTAGAACCTTATAGCGGTAACCGAACGAGCCCTAAGTCTAAAAAAGTTTGATATAATATTATATGGATATACACTATATTATTGTTTCTTACAATTCAAATAGAAGAACACATATAGGCCCCGTTTGGTTGGCAATATAAGATTAGGCAAGATAAGATTAAATAATCTAATGAGACTCAATTACTTTATTGTAGCTTGAAATGTTCAATAAAAAAAACTCATTAGAAAGCAAGATAAGCCATGATTATATAATTTTGGCGGGTCGATCCGGCAATTTATTGAGGATACCAAACATCAATTTAAGTCCAACTATTTAGTTAATCATGGCTTATCTTGGCAGCCAAACGGGGCCATAGTGCTTTAATCACACCATTCCTATTATAATTTGCTTATAGCAAATTTACATTATTGAAACAAATAGAAAGTAAGATTCCCTATTATTGTAATTATTAGTAACTACATGCGGTAGGTGGCATAGTTCACCCTACTAATAAGTATTAAATATTAATTAGTGTTTATCTCAATTTTATAAAATTATTAGAGCACTCGAGTGATTAAAGGCGTCGTCCATTGAAAAATGGGGCTTTGCTGATGTGCTTTTTAAGCCTTTTTTGGTGAGTGCTTAATTTTCTACTTAATATAATAAAATAATTTTATCCCTTTTCAAAATTATAAAAAGTCATCCGAATTAGTATAAAACAATGTAGTTTAAAAATAGTTAAATAAATTAATAATATCAGAATTTCTGGTGCCAGTTAATCGTCTTATAAATTAACTAAATGGGCTATAAATCTAGTAGGCCCAAAATCCAAACTCAATATATATGGGCTAAACAACTTCTTGTATTATTTCTTTAATCTATGATCAGAATTTTTCATCATATCATAAATCATAATGTTGATTTGAGTCCATGATAATTTGAAAAAATACACAATAGTTTAATAATCAGACACGTAACCGATAGATAAACGGGGCGTGATAAGTATAAATGGGGCACGCTGCACGCACCACTAGCAGTTTCCCGTCAATCAAATCGCCTTTTACTTGTTCGATAAAATGACAGTTCAATTGCGACTCCAACCGAAAGATCCGTATAGTTCTATTCCTAAGTACCGAATTTCAGAAGAAAGCTCCAAATTGGACCTAAATGTTTTCACCTGGGGGAAGCTCAGCAGGTTTTGGTGGATTGCCAAGTACGCGTTCCATGTCGAAACGAACTTCAATATTTCGAAGACTGTAACCGACCACCATTAGCCAATAAAGTAGCTTTGCGAGTTCCGGTGCAGTTGTTTCTGTCACGTTAGTCTGCAAAAACACACCATACTCGGCTGTCAATTTCAGCCTTCAGTCGAGCTTGCATTTATATAACATTATAGGGATAAAGATCAAATAAAATATTTAACCAGGACAATTGAAGAAAAAACTAAAACACGAGTGGATAAAATATTATAGGAATTGACAGCACTAATTTAGCTTTTTACCTTCATTTGACTAGGATCGGAGACAGCCAAAAGACGTTTTATAAACGTATTCATTGCCACCACAACATCCTCTCCAGCGGTACTTGTTAGCTCCTAATAAACGTGCAAAATTTCATTTTATGAGAACAACATAAGTCACACAATTATACTTTTAATTGGAAGATTAAATGGTATTGCCAGATGATTTCTCTCCCTCTTGCTCTTATCTATGGTTATTTATGTATGCATTTTATCCCTTTTGTTATGGTTTCTATAGTAGTGACATGTCTTCTTACCTTGATATTTTGAGGCTCGAGAGATTTCAGATATTCCAGCAGTTCATTCTGTCCATTTGCCGATTTTCTTGCAACTTGAAGGTTAAGTTCCTCGATTTCTGCTTCAAGTAGCTCAATGTATTTCACTGCATCGATTGTTTCCGGACCTGATATATTGTTCCACCTTATAACTTCGCCTGACACCTTTTTCTGTGTACCTGGTGCATAATCTGGCACATCCTACACCATCACAGCCCAACAATGTAAGTCAAAAGATACAATAAAACAGATGGTTTTTTTTTTAAGATACGAGTTAACATAAACAAATGTGATCGGAGGAAATTAAATTCCAAAATCCATAATGAAGTGATCGATGGCATTCTTTTTTAGCTTTACAACTATCTCACACAACACGCTGGTGGCAATAAGTAACTTGGGGTTTGTTAACCTTTAACAAGAACTAAATGGCGATGGTACAACTTCAAAGTAACCCTCTATATTGGTAGGGAATAAATTGTACAACAAGCCCTTTTTTTTCTCAACAATTTCAGTTTTTCTAATTCACACCAAAACCGTACCCAAACACAATGAAAAAAGCTGATTTCCGAAAGAGCAAGCCAAAGAGCTTACTTTTTTCTCTTGTGGTTCAGGGAGAGCAGCTTGTTCCAAGCTTTGCTGCAATTCCAGCCTGTATTGAGCATTCTTAAACATATATCCGGTCATCAAGACACTGTACATTAGCTGCGCCAAATTTTCGGCAACCTGAAACAAAGAAAATGATGAGCAACATCATAACACACTCCAACAACCTATATTCCACTCGATCATTTCTACCTAACAAAACACCGCTAAATTGGAAGTTGTGCGAGTTTTTCTGTAAATACTTACAGTGGTAACTGTCACAGCAAAAAATTGAGGGGGCAGAGTTCCGATCATATTCGTCACAGTTTGGCGCATCGCATCAACTACCTACGTAGAGTAGAACCATCATAATAGAAACCAAAAATAAAAATAAAAAAATTGCGCAATACTAAACTCATTGAGGCATTTTCACAAACACCATCAGAAATTTTTTGAAAGATAAAATTTGCAGTGCGAAAAACCACACCTGCTGAGGCGCTCTTTTGACAAACAACTCCATGAATTCAGGCTGCACATTCTGCACATACTCCAGCAAAATATCCCTCCTGTTCTTAGGCTGCAATAAAATTGCGAGATACAATAAACAACGTTGCTTACAAGCAAAAATTCATCTATTCCGCCAATAAAAAAAATTAAATAGATAACCGAAGGTTAGGGTAAAATTACCAGAGTGCCGTTGGTAGGTTTAGAATCGCCGGTATTAGGTGAACTGTACTTGTCATTTTCAGTGGCTCTGATGACTGTGAGTCTTCCTCTGCAATTGTGTGATTTTATCGGAAACCGGAGGAAAGGGGGCGGCGGAACATACGACGCGGCGGAGGAAGACGACGGTGGAGAAGAAGGGGATTGCGATAAGAGAAACGAAGAAAGCTTCAACGACATTTTCAATTAAATAAATAATAATCGTGGAGAAATATTTTGAAGCTCCCCTCCTTAACAAAATACCCCCATTATCAGTTATCACTACACAGAAGAGCTGAAATTATTTCATTTTTATTTAGATATTATTAAATTTATCATTAATCATTTTATGGTCATAAAAACTATAGGACTCAATAAATTAATTGAGTTTATTTGAATGAATTTCAATTTTTTAATTGTGATAGGGTTAAATAAAATCCACTTTTATAAGTATCAATTTCTTAAAAACAATATTCTCCAAACGCTCTCGTCAATTTCTTGTAATTGCTATTTACAGTAGAAGTTCGATAATATAATCTAATATTTTACTGAATTAATAGAATTTTGTTAATATGAACTGTATCAATTTATAAAGGTTTAATTGTAAATTGTAGAGGATAATTAATGTTTAGAAGAAAATAAGACTTTGTTCCATTAATGCCACAAACTTAAAGCAAACATCATATATGATTAGCAACAATTTACACAAACTAGCTATAAAAAACACTCGAACGTAACAAACGAACGTTTATTTTAGTCAAACATGTTAATCGAGTATGTTACTTACGACCAATATCAATCAAAAGGACTAGGATTAAGAGAAGCGAGATCGGTAAGATCTTGAATTTTGTCGAATCGGCATAGTAGCATTGATCCATAGTGAGCCACGCTTCTATTCCACCACCATTTCTCGTGTCCATTAGCCAAAGAAAATCGATAAACGGCGCGTTTGTGGTATTACATCCCACGTCACACTATGTTATCCACACAGGTTTCCCCCATCTAAAATCGATACTGTAAAAACCGAAATTGCACCAACTTGTGACATTCAAACCATCAGCATTCTCGGGAATACGATTCATCGTCTCTTCGTAGAGGTTCTTGCAGTAACCCGAATATCCTTCTTCGCCTAAACATTGTTTGAATTAATTAGCACAAATATCACATAATCATATTTGTGTAATAAAAATAAATAAATAAATAACCTTGCATTCATGTTACAAAATCGGCGTCCACGTTGCACTTTACCGAACAAGTGTTTTAGATCCCTGTTGTCGTGATCATTGACCGCTGACGTGGGCGCCGGCAAAACAGAATTCCCGAGGCTATTTTCGGGAAACGGTACATGGATCGGCTTTTCTTCTCATGTTCACCGCGTGTGAGTCAGATAGTTAATATCTTCTCCGACGATGAATTTTTCTGAAGCCACCATGTAACACTTCCACAAGAACGCCGTTACAGCTTCCACTCTCGAAGGCGGCTGCCGGCGAATCTATCGAATATTTAGAGTGGTAATTTTTTTTAAATATAGTTAGTAAACATTTTGTAGAAAAAAAAAATGAAAATATAATAAATCTAACATATGCAGAAAAAAAAACGAGGAGAAATTTAAACAATTTTCCAGGTCCAATTCCAAAATCTCCTAAAAATTTAGAATGAATTAATCCAAAAAGCTTTTAAAACCAAATATATTTCAAAAACAAATCCAAAAATACCATAAATCCAGCATTTGCAGAAAAAAAGGAAATAAGGAGAAATTTATATAATTTCCTAATTAAGTTGCAATTCTAAATTTTAATTCCAATATTTAATTAGGATTGTGAAGCTTTTAGAAATAAAATCAATAAACTTACTTTGTGAACAAATTGAAAATAGAATAAATTCACGTACTTTATGAACAAATCGAATAAAGAAAACTTGTAATTTACCACAAAAATTAGTGCTAATTAGTCATATTTGTGATACATAATGAGATAATCACATTTAAATTGTTTGGCTATTAACATATGTAACTCCACCTAATTAGATGAGTCTATATATATCTTGATGGGCGCTGCTAGCCCAATAAGCCCAAAAAGATGCATAACTTGTTTACAAAACGTAGCTCTCCATGAAAGATTGTGAAAAGCCCAATTAAATAATATCAAATTTTCACCAATAAATACTCAATAATCTCTAATTAATTAGGGTATGATATTAATATTTTTTTTAGAATGCATGATAATAATTTATTCGCCACTACATATGCAATGTAATTTTAAATCGTAGATCTGCATAAATAACTACATATCCACTAAGCACACATGCCAATATTCAGTAAAATGACTTCTAAATTTTCGTATTTTTAAAACTAGAATTATTTTTTTTTTCATTTTCAAAATATTAAAATATAAGTCTACCTAATGATATGGTTGCATGTTAGAAAGATAAGACATGGTTGTTATTTTGGTCGGAACACTGGGAATTATTTTAATCTAAAAATTAAAAAACAAATGGGAATTTACCTTTTATTAGGTAAAAAAAAGAACTGAAATGCTATTCATAGTGCGGTTTTTACCGGCTTGCAGTGCGATTTATTTCATTTGTAACTTTCCTAAAAAAAAACCAAATTCGCCCGCTATTTCGTGTATTATTACACGAAATACACTCAATAATTTCGTGTCTTTTCACACGAAATAGCGGTGTTTATTGTTATAGAACACGAAGGACGAAACTGTTAGATTAAAAAAAATCGTGTATTTCGTGTAAACGTACACGAAATGGAAGAACATATTTCGTGGAGTTTTCTACGAAATGGAAGACCATATTTCGTGGAATTTTCTACGAAATGGAAGACCATATTTCGTAGATTTTTCCACGAAATATGAAGTGACATTTCGGTAAATTCAGTACGAAATAATAAAAAATTCAAATACAAATACAAATTGAACTAGAATTCAAATGCAACTAAAAATTGAACTAGAATTCAAATACAACTACAAATTGAACTAGAATTCAAATACAACTACAAATTGATCTAAATTTCAAATACGAATAAAATTGAACTAGATTTCAGATACAACTACAAATTGAACTACCGACCAGACTTTAATTGTTCGTACAAGAGTAGTCGGGGTTTGTACGTTTTGAGTAAGTGCCTCAAGTTTTTAGCTCTATGGTGTACCCATGCCGGATGGATTGGTGGTAGTGGACTATTTGCGACCAAATTAACAAACATGAAATGATTGTTGTGCAATGTCACAACAATCATACATGAAAAATCGCACTTCAGCTCACTAATTTGGATATAAACTTGGTCCCGAAGTTTGCCTTGCACGTTATCCAGACCTCCGGTCGAAGCATTTAACCAACCCTTCGCTGAAGAATGAGCGCTCTCCACCCTATCCAATTACAACAACAATCAGAGCATACAACGACAATCAAATTACAAAATAAATATTATTTTTATATAATATCTTTTATCATTTAAATAACTAAAACATGTAATACCTGTTGGTGCTCGTGTTGCCAAAATGATACACATTGCGAGTATAGGCACGAACAAACTTCTCCTTGTATATCAACCACGTATCATTCAAATACTGTATCAGCCTAGGATACCCTGCATACCGTCCAACAATTTCATTGTAATTGTAATGATACTCTTCTTCGGTTTCTGATTTCACCAGCTTAGCCCACAGCACACGTCGGAATATTAGACCTTGGTCCTTGTTGCCTCCCATAAATTTCGTCGCATTTGCCTCAACATTTCTGTTTATATGGAATATACACAACATATGATACGAAAATGGGAAGACATTTGGCAGTGCTTTCAAAAGACCCAACTCTCTGTCTGTCAAGATCGCATCAGGTTCGACACCATCTAGCAACTCTTTCAAACAATTCAAAGTCCACTCGTAGGTGTCTGCATCTTCATGCGACATAAATGCAACAGCAATTGTATAATTCCTCCCAACTGGAGTTATCCCAATTATTTCCAAAAGAGGCATTCCATACCTACAACAATGTTGTTTTTACATATTTAAACAATACAAGACATTAAAACACAATAATCATAATGGAACAATCGTAATTTTTACTTACTTATTGGTTTTGTATGTGCAGTCCATCAATATAACATACGGGAACAACCGTAATAACTGAATAGATTCGGGACATGCAAACATAATATCTGTAATCGTGTTGCTCGTTTCACTATCGACGCGATGCCAATATCGATACTCGCCTTTTTGAAAGTTATGCATCATAAACTGAATAACAGTCATGCCCTCCATTTCCTCAGATTTAATCTTGGCCAACTCATTGTAAACATGCTTCATAGAGGTTTGTATCGTCGGATCATCTTTTCTCAGTCTATCCATGATCAGCATTGGCTTCACGTGAGAATTTCGCAATTCTTTAATTCTTGCTTTCTGTTGCGGAGTTATACGACTAGTCGTACCTTGTCCGTGAGGAAACAAAGTCGGACGATGACTATGCCTGCCATCGCTGACAGTCAACCGCCATAATTCATCAAACCTTGACCTTTTGCCAATCAATTTGAACGGACAACCACATTTTTTTGTTCCTGAGTTTCTAGGATCTTCCACATCGATATTCGTTTGTCGGCCATGTCCGTATTTGTCACACGTCATGTACTGTGCATTCTCCCTTCTAGACTGACAAATCAAACGGTGACAATGACTAACTGCAGTTTCTTTCGCCCAGTTGATTAATTCTTCCCTACTGCCGAACACAATATCAACTTGGAAGAAGTGAGAGAAATCTTCATATTCCTTTTTATCCAAAACCGAGGGATCAAAATACAAATTGTCGTCATATGGCTGCGTAAATACAAAAAAAAGGTTAGATACTTGCACAAAAAAAATTAATAACAATACTAGGTATTTCGTGTAAAATCACACGAAGTATATGCATACATTTCGTGTAATTTTACACGAAATGTATTCATACATTTAGTATAGTACTGCACGAAATGAATAACAAAACAGTTTTACTGCTATTTCGTGTGACTTTACACGAAATAATAGGTATAATTTCGTAGTATTGTACACGAAATGACTGGAAAACACGAATAAAGTGTTCATTTCGTGCAAAACAACACGAAATGACTTGAATAATTTCGTGATATTCTACACGAAACGACTGAAAATCGAAAAAAATCACACTAAAACGTATTTTTTTACCTCATTTACGGGATCGATGTTGGCCATCTTGATAATCGTTGGGTTTTAACTGATTTCTACGAAAACAAATCACGATCTACGAAAGTCGAAATATTTGGATGTTGAGAGGATTTTGTAAAAGGTTAAAGTGTTTTTTGACAAATGAATTATTTCGCACTGTAGCTGGAAAAAACCGCACTGATAATAGCAAGCCCCAAAAAAGAAATAGATAATTTGCATTCATATTATCTCCTAATCCAACTGGAGCTTACCTGGAAAAGGAATCTTCATGCCACAATTACCGACACCCACTGCTCCTAAAAACCCTCGAATTCAATGAAAATCACACTTTTATCCCCTCTGATTAAAATCTTCATCATCTCCTCTTAGCAGTAAAAATCCCTAATTACTCCAAATTGCAATATTTAATCATGCAATTAACCACCGCGAGCATCGGAATCCGTGTCGTTTATTGCAGAATGGTCCAAACGTAAAACTCCAAAAATCTTGCTTCTCCCCAACTAGGACTTGAGAAAAAAAATGATTGCTCCACTTCCCTCCGTTTCCCCTCAATTATACTGACATTGTTGTGGTGCGCCCCTCTTTTTATTGAAGGAATCAATTTTTTTTTTTTTTTTTTTTATAATTTTTTTGGGGTAAAATAATTCCCTCCGCCGCCCGCCGCTATTCGTACATGGCATATCCGCGGCGGCGCCACCAGTACCGTCACCGATTCCTCCCCGCCATCTCCGCCATTTCCGCCGCCATTCTCTTCTTATTTGTTTTCATCTCCTTTCTAGCACCTTCCCCTGTTGAAACTGATCACATCCATCGCGCTAGGGTGCCTCTGATTTTCAGTCGCAGGGTTTGTTTTATTGCATTTTTCATTTTTTTTTGTGCTCAATTGATTTGATTCATTTGGAGGAGTGTGATTGAATTGGTTTGCTGCTATTTTGTTGTTGTTGTTGTAGGTAAACAATGACGTTGGTGAAGGAAATGAAGCTCCTCCGAAGTTTCGTGTTCCAGTTAGGTTTTTAGTTTTTCGTCTGTCTTTTATTTATGATTTGTATGTTTGGTGTTGGTGTCTGAAAATGTAGATTGATTTGATCCAATATTTTTGTACTAACCGTGATGATCAATGATATACAGGACAATGGAGGAGTTCTTCATCGTGATATTTGGAGCACGAAGAACTCGAGATTTTACTATGGTTGTAGCAATGCCAGCAGTCAATTTGCAGGTACAGTAACTTGTTTACAGCTTTTAATGTTCAGGCTTGTTGGTAAATATGTGATTTTTTTCCTTGTCAATTGGCTTTATTTGTTCTCTAACATTGTTTTTTAATCTCGAGGTTCTATATTGTGTGTTTTTTTCTTGTTTTTTTGACTGGAAATAGTTTGATGTTACATTTTGAATAACAGAAGCTGCTGTCGTAACGCGTCCTGATCGTTACTTGGCCATTGCAACCAGTGGAGGTTTAAACCAGCAAAGAACCGGGGTATTATTTCCTTTTTTAATAATATTTTCTATTCACTAATGAATGATAATGTTCTGCAATAATCTTATCAACCTACTTTAAAGAACTTTGTATTGTCATAATAAGATTATCCATTATGCTCTGACTGATTATTTGCTGATGCTAGTGGTACGCATGATTTACCTACGCTTTGTAATTTGATTTGTGAATTTCTTTTTACTATGTTCTTGGTATGTTTGTTTGAGTTGCTTCGTAAAGAAATCCTTGTAAATGGCTGTGGGATTTGTGTTCATCATGTCATGTAGTTGAATTGATGCCGACAATAATTTTATGATTGTCTCTACGCGCAAGCTATTCACTTATGTTCAACTTATTAGAGTTACCATATTGAGCTAATAAGTTGACATGCATAGTTTTATACTAGACCAGAAGCCTAATTTGCCAACTGAATTTTTCTTAATGTTTTTATGACCCGTCTACTTTTATTGTGGGCATTCAGAAAGGTAGTTGCTCACCTAACTGTGAATTCTTAAATCATGATTTCTCTCTGCAAATTATAATAAGTGTTATACAAAATCTGGTGTTCAATACTAAGTGCTGAAATTAGCTTTTATTACCTATTAATTGCAGATTATTGATGCTGTTGTTGCTGCTCGCATTTTGAATGTCACCCTCGTTGTCCCAAAATTGGACCAGAAGTCTTTTTGGAAGGATGTTAGGTAAAGCCATGGTTCATATATTGCAAAGTTCTTGCTATTGCGTTTTTCTAGCCACTCAATGTTGCTCTCTTTTACAGCAACTTTTCAGAGATCTTCGATGTTGATTGGTTTATATCATTCCTGAAAAAAGATGTAAAAATCATAAAAGACCTCCCACGAAGAAGAGGGCAGATATGGAACCCATATACAATGCGTGTACCAAGAAAGTGCAATGAGCAATGTTATGTTCGTCGTTTAGTACCTGTCCTTTCAAAGAAGCATGTAAGTCGATGGGTCCCAACATTCCTTACATAGTTCTGTTTTCGTGATCATGATAGATGGAGATACCGGTGTTGAGTTTCGTGGCGAATCTGTGCAATGAATTTGTTTTAAATTTCATTGTCGTATATTTAATTGTTATGGCTCGGATTAATGACTTATATCTTTGTCGTATCTCCAAATCAGGCCCCACTTTATCCTTACGTAATGCTTGCTCAAAATTTCTTCTTATGGTACAATTCAGAAAATTGTTTCCTGTTCTGTTGGACTAGTCCTAGTTGTTGGTAGATGTATATATTGAAATTGACAGCTAAAAAGTATGTAATCCAGAGTGTGCTGATATTATTGTTCTATGACACTAATGAACGGCGCCATTCATGTAACAGGCTGTTCAGTTGACCAAGTTTGATTACAGACTTTCAAATAGGTTGAGTGAGGAACTGCAAAAGCTTAGGTGCAGAGTTAATTATCATGCTCTGAAGTTCACCAATCCCATACGACAAATGGGTGCGAAGTTGGTGCGAAGAATGAGAATGAGGAGCAAGCATTATATTGCTCTTCACCTCAGGTACATTGGTTCCATAATTCTGAGATTTCAAATTCATTTTCGCGTTTTTCTATCATTTTTTACGACTAGCATAATATGAGTGCCTAGAACAGATGTGATTTCTTTTCAGCATTTCAGTGAATAATTTTCTTGGGTGTTTACACTTTTGGAGTCTTAGCTAATCTTAACGTATGAAGTGTTAGGCTCGTCAATTTGTAATTTTCGATTTCTATGATGACATTTGTTGTTCTACTTTTCAGGTCTTAATGATTTTATTTATGAAATTATTACCATTTGAAGAGCAATCTGATACTTCGTTAGCTGCACTTTAATATGTTGTAGAATTCCTATATTAAAGTGAGGTAAAAACTTAAAAGGATTATCTTTCACATGTCTGTATTTATTTTGTTGCAGGTTTGAACCTGATATGCTTGCATTCTCGGGATGTTATTATGGTGGAGGAGACAAAGAGAGGAGGGAACTAGCAAAAATACGACGGAGATGGAAAACTTTGCATGTAATGCTTCAACACGCTAACTTTTTAGAGGCTGAATATTTATAATTTGAATCCAGATGTACTAATGACAAAACACACACACACACACACACGAGTTCAAAACAGTGACTGGATAATTCCATCCAGCATATTGAATTGTGATGCCATGCTCAGAGCACTTTTAACCGTTGATTGAATTTGCAGAATCCAAATCCAGAAAGGGAGAGGAGGCAAGGTAGATGCCCTCTCACTCCCGAAGAAGTTGGTCTTCTTCTAAGAGCACTTGGCTACGACAGAGACACCCATATTTTTGTCGCGTCTGGAGAAGTATACGGAGGGGAATCAACATTAGCCCCATTAAAGGCTCTTTTCCCCAACTATCACTCGAAAGAAATCCTAGCAAACCAGGATGAGTTGAAACCCTTTTCTTCGTTTTCTTCTCGAATGGCTGCCTTAGATTTTATAGTGTGCGACGAAAGCGATGTATTTGTCACAAATAACAACGGAAACATGGCAAAAATTATTGCAGGGCGAAGGTATGTATGCCTTTTTATCTTTCTCCAAATCCTCAATAGTTGTTATAATTACGAACAAACGATGTAACCTCTTTGCTCTGAACGGCAGGAGATATTTTGGGCACAAACCCACAATTCGTCCAAATTCTAAAAAGTTGTATAGGCTGTTTTCGAACCGAGTTAATATGACCTGGGAAGAATTCTCCTCGAGTGCACGTTCAAGTCAGAGGGGTTTCATGGGAGACCCAAAGGAGGTGAGGCCAGGCAGAGGAGCGTTCCATGAAAATCCAGCCTGTTGCATTTGTGAAGATTCGGAGGCAAAAAAGAACACGGGTTCGGTTCGAAGGGGAACTGGTAAGAAATCCTTACCCGTAAGAAAAGATGTGGATGTAGTAGCGGTTGAAGATCAGAACACGAATGAAGAACCGGAATGGTCCGATCCTGACGAAGAAGATGACCTGTCGAGTCAACTAGGGAACTCTCTGTATAACGAAACTAGCTTAGAGGATGACATGTTTTCATCAGAGGAGCCTGAGTTGGATGAGTTGCTTTCGGATTGAGTGGAAAAAAACACACACTAAGTAACGATCTTTGCAACGTTCTGATTGGTGGTCGGTACGTGTTTGTTCTTACATCAGAACATTACTTTTTGTTCAGGCAAGGTGCAAAGTCACATGAAAAGGTAAAAAACGTCTCCTTGAAGATTAAACTCCGGCCATGTTCCTCAACGTGAAAAATATATATATACCAGAGTCGGTTTAACATAATGGAAACTTGAGAAACAATGTTGTTTTGGGGCTTGTATATAGTAGTGTTCCCTTTTTTTTTTTTTGATAATTTACGTAGATTTCGATTGGATAGATTTGTGTTTGATCCAAGTTATAAGGAAATCGCGAAGATCTGTTGTCACTTGCAGATGTTGTAGGGAGGGAGGCCCCAAGGGCTGTATAATATTGAGAGAAACCAGTTCCTTACAAGTACGAGGAAATGCTGGTTTTTGGTAGACATTGTAAATTGTCTAAGCAATGTGTGACAAAATTCACCAAATTATTTCGAGTTTATTTATATTTCTCAGTTCTTCAGTGCTTTCACAATAATATAATGAGATTGCACAAATGAAATAAAAATTAATTTACAAAAAGTCCTCCTAAGGTAGGTATATTTATGAACAAAATCCCTCATTTTTCATAATTACTCTACCCCTTCAAATTTGTTAATTTCTTACATAACACCTTTTTATAGAGGTGGATGTAAGAAATTTACAAACATCAGGGGTCTTCATGTAGTTATTAATTAAATGAGGGTTTTTTTGTAAATTAACTTTGTCTCAAGGAGGTGGTTGTAATTTAACCAATATTAAATTATGGAGATTTAACTGTATAATTGCAAAAACACCCATTTTAAAACCTTTGATTTGTATATGTGGCCCATTGTTTTTTCATTTGGGCCTAAAACACCGTTTGTTTCAACGCTGGCCCAATTTAGTATTTGCTTCTGAATTCTACTTCGGATCTGCTTTGACGCTGCGATGAATTTTTGGGAGTAGAATTTCAAGTTAGCTGATACGACGAAAATGCAAGGTGGATCAACCGGCGTTGGCTACGGTCTCAAATATCAGGTCAATTTCTTCGAATTTTCTTAAATTCACGAACTCTGATTTCATATGAGAAGAAAATGGAAGTCTGAATTGAATTTTGTTTGCACCAGGCGAGATGCATTTCGGATGTGAAAGCGGATACGGATCACACCAGTTTCCTCACCGGTACTCTCAGCCTCAAAGAAGAAAACGAGGTGATTTTTGAATTTCTAATGGAGGAGTATTTTTCAGTGTGTGTGTGTGTTTGTTTGATGTTAATAATGTAGCGGTGGATTTTTCAGGTGCACTTGATTAGGTTGTCTTCTGGCGGTACTGAATTGATCTGCGAGGGTTTGTTTTCGCATCCGAATGAAATCTGGGATCTGGCTTCTTGTCCTTTCGATCAACGGATTTTCTCTACTGTATTTTCTTCCGGTAATTTTCGATATTCCAGTTTCAGATTCTCGAATAGTAGTTTGTTTCTCAATGCATTCAATTGTTTCATGCTGAATTTTGCTGGGATGAATGGCTAACTTAATATGTAATACCAATGTTGAACAACATTTGTTACTCGTCGATTTTTTAAGCTTGTGTAAGCTCGGCTTTATAAGTTGGGATATGATAAACATGTTGGAGCATTATTTAGCTATTAGAGCTGTTTGGATCAATTGATATTATTTAGAATGATTTGCTAAAGAATTGAACTGAGCTTAGAACAAGATTTGAAGTTTGATAAGAAATCCAAACTGAGCTAGAAAAAACTAGATTTGTTTATGCTCCTATACTTAGCTATTGTTTTCTGAACAATTGGTCTATAGTTAGGCGAAGAGTCCCAATGCGTAACTTCTAATATTTTGAAAAATGTTAATATGTTCAATAATAGTTTGCCTCCCGAATTTAAATCTTAGACTTTTTCTTGAAGTTGTTATCTGGACGGAAGATTTAATTTATGGTAATGAAGACTATCTTTAATTTTGTTTTATATTTCTTTAAAGGGGAAACATATGGGGCAGCGGTATGGCAAATTCCCGAGTTATATGGTCAGCTAAGTTCTCCTCAATTGGAAACTGTTGCTTCACTGGATGGGCACACTTGCAAAATTAAATGGTGAGCTTCTTTGGTGACAGCTGTTTTCCTGTGTGCCCTATTTATTTGGAATCGTGAGTTTTTTTACTCTAATAGATCAGGAATCATAATTCCGAATTTTCTGGCCGTGATGAAAAAATGAAAGAAAAAGGGGGATCTATAGTTGGATTTTTCATTACTTTAAGATCTGAGTATGTTTCTTAGTGCTGTAATGTGAAACTGGTTCCATACAACTCACCGTATTACGAAATTTAGTGGTTCCACTTAAACTATTCGTCATCAATCTCCCTGGATTAATATTTTTCATTTGATTCCATTTCTTTCAATTAATTAATGATAGTGTATGGTATTTGTAGCGTTCTGTGGTGGCCAACCGGAAGGCATGACAAGCTGGTTAGTATTGACGAGCAGAATCTCTTTCTATGGAGCTTAGATACTTCAAAGAAAACTGCTCAGGTATATAGTCACGGCAGGAATCACTGAGTTGATTCAGACTTACGATTATATCACAAGTTACAACACGGATATGATAACTCGAAGAACGAACGCCTTCTTTTTAGCTATCTTCTCCTAACTACTACTAGTTACCTACCACATTGCATCTTGATGCACTCAACGTGACCTAATAGGTTCTGATTTTTTGGGCTAATTGATCTTGCCACGTAATGTAGGTACAATCACAAGAATCGGCTGGCATGCTTCATACTTTAACTGGTGGAGCATGGGATCCTCACGATTTCAATGCCATATCTTTAACATGTGATTCATCAGTTCAACTTTGGGATTTGAGGACAATGAAGTAAGTTTATTTAATTTCCACATGTCTGTGTATTGATGAAAAGAAAACCTGTTTTATCTTCATAGCCAAACCACAGTTTTGAAACCTTAAACTAAACCTTCTCGGTTTATTTTTTACTCCATTTGATAGTTGATGGTTTTGTTTTAACTATAAACTTACTATTCCACAATTCCCCCTTTGCTTGGTTGCATTTATTCCCTGTGTTGCAATGGATGTGATTGAGTTCCTTGCTGCTTAGCATGTTAGTTTTTCACCCGAATTTATTCAAACTATGCTATTAATGCTCGTTCTTCTAGAAGCTTTAGGTCCCGCCAAGAACTAGAAACATTTGATCAGTTATTTCGTTTGATCTCTAGTACAATTGCAGTTTAATGAATATAAATCCTCTTTAATGAAGTCCTGAAGAGGGCATAGTTGGTTACTAATGATAGTTAACGTCTTTAATTGATTTTTCCGGCCATAAAACCGAAACATTTATGTGCTTGCAGGAAAACCGGTTCGATTGAGCGTGCACATGTCCGTAATGTAGACTATAACATGAAAACGAGGTACACACTTGTAAGTATACTGCAGACTTGATGAGTGTTTTTTTCCTTGAATAATATTTTATTGTTTTTCATATTTATTTGTTCATGTGATTTTGCAAATGTTTTCACATGAACAAATTTATGTCATTTCCATTCTACAATTCCTTTTATTTTATTAGGAACATGAAAACTCGTCATAGAACTTGATGTACCCCTCTGTTGTCTGCCGATAGCATCATCAACCATCCCTTTGTGAACCACTTCAATATTTCCCTAACGACGTACCTAACAACCTTAGTAGAAGTGCCACAAGTACAATACCATTGTTATGTCTAATATGTTTGAAGCATCCATGTTTTTAGTTTGGTTTTAAGGTTAGAACTCTCGGTAAAAAGCAATCAATCTCTATGAGCTTGTTGGGGACACCTAGTTGGTCTAGAAAAACTGCTGCACCACCGGAAATCCTTCTCCATGTATATTTGCCGACGAGGTTCTTTTGAAATGAACTTCCATTTGAAACTTATACCTTAGACATTCAACTGTGGTAAATATAGCAGTTGGAATACCATGCATGAAAACTTGCCTATGCATAGTACAGTGTATGTAAACGGTTGTAATTGTTCTTAAATTCACAATTTACCATGAATGCACCTTCCTCTCTCTAAAATATAAGCTTACGGTTGCTGGTTGACATTACTCAGGTAACTGCTGAAGATGAGTCGGGCATTCATATATGGGACCTTAGAAACCTGAAGTTTCCAGTTTCTGAACTTCCTGGGCACTCACACTGGTAAATTTTTCAAATCGACCTAGCTTGTGTTTTCACATTCATAGATTATAATGTCTATTGTTTTGTTTCTTTTTACACCTATCTTTCTGTTTTAAGTTTTGGTTTCCTTTGTCAGCAATCCCTCAAGATTTTCCTTATCTTGTATTGATATTTTTATTTTTATATTGTCGTTATAGTCTGAATTAGATCTTTAAATTATTCATCGTCAATTTGATTATCTGCGAATTAATGAGTCTTTATTGTTGATAGGACATGGGCGGTTAAATGTAATCCCGAGTACGAGGGCCTGATTCTGGTACTTTATCTCCTTCTTTCCACCATTTCCTTATACTTGATCATAACTGCCCACCCTAGAATTTCTTTACCTTTCGTTGAAGAAGAATTCATGAAATACTTTTATTACCTCACTTCAGCATATTTACGACCAAAAAAGAACTTTGAAAAGAACATATACTCATCATTATGTCACTGTTTCTAATAGCACCTTGTCTTTTTATTACGTGGTGTTCAGTCACTGTTTCTCTTGTATTCATTAGTATTTTTCTGATGATGCCAAAACTTTTGTAGAGTGCTGGAACTGACTCAGCTGTCAATTTGTGGTTGGCTTCTCCTTCAGATAGGTCTGCGATTTCATTTCAGTTCTTGTAATTCGTTACTCAATCGTTGTAGGATATTTAAGTCAATTACATCCTATTTTTTTTGCTAGTGTGGTTGAGCCAACAAACCAGACGATAGAGCCGTTGCTAAATTCCTACAACGACTATGAAGACTCTGTTTATGGTAATTGATGCAACCTCCGATTCTCCTCTCACCTCTACATTGAAATCAAATTAATGGCTTTCAACTTATTCAGGCCTTGCTTGGAGTTCTCGTGAACCATGGATTTTCGCATCGTTGTCATATGATGGAAGGGTAAGTTGTTATACAATTAAGTTAATGTAAGGTTCTTTTGTTTTTACATATAAGTCCATATTAATGATTGAAAAAAAAAACTCACAATTGGTGCTAAAGGATTTAAAATCCCTAGTAATTCAAAAATTATAGTTGGTTCTTAAATTTTTTCAAATGCAAGATAGATAGACCGACCGAGAGTTACTGATGTCAGTAGCTATACTTTTTATTACACGAGCTTGATGACCATGACTACATTCTCATTTTGCAGGTTGTTGTGGAATCTATAAAATCCCATCTTCCTAAAAAATGAAAAAAACGAACAATGTCGTAAGTGCAAATTCTTCAAACCAATTTTCTCTTCATCATTGTCTTATCTAGTGTTTCTTGCTCGGTTTTTAGCATTGTGTTCTGATCTCAGATACTCGTGATTCTTCTTTAGAAACCGAATCTTGCCGAGACCGATCGCATAACAGTGAAGCTATGCTGTGATTGAAGATGTTATTGCAGAAGTTGACATTAGTCCCACCTTGTAAGATGGATTTTTTTGATCTATTTATTTTCAAAACTCGTCGCGTTTCATCTTTCGCATTAATGTTTTCGGTAGTCACAGGCTATTGGCATTCTAAGTGAGTGGATTAAGCACAATTTCATATTCTATCCATTAAATTTTTTAGCCTGGTGAATGTATGTAATTGCACTTTTCTCAAATTTGCTCTTATTATTCACTTATAATTCATATAATGCATATTTACTAAATTTTCTTAATGCTAAATGCAATAACTCAAATCGACTAATATTTTGGCACGAAGCGAGTACACTTCTACTCTGCGTAATTCTATCTACTGTAGTATAGTATATTAAATTTGATCGAATTGAAGACCAATTACTGGAGTTTCTTACTGTCACGTGATTGGTTCATCATAAATTAGTGGTCGTTCATACGGGACAAGTAAAATTACATTTTTTTCACGTGGTTTAATTTGAAAATCAGTATTTAAGTTGGTGTTTTTTTAAGACAAAAAATCGAATATACTATACGTACAGTGGCTGCTGTCACAAGCGGAGAAAAGTAGTCGCTATTTTTTTGTGGAAAATTGTTGGCTTCAAATGGATAAGGGCTTCTTGATTCCCAAGTGAGAATCTGAACTTAAGCTTATCGGTAGAGAATAATAGGGTGAGTCATTTTTTTCGGTTTCCTCGTTCAAAGGCAGAATAATTCTGTTGTTTGTTGTAGCTCCTCCACGTGGCGCTCTTTCTCACCATGTACGCCGCGTCATATCCTGGTTGACACGTAAGTTTCCACTACTTTTTCAGCTTTATCCATATTATATTTATTGCCTAGTCATCGACGCATCTGGTGATGACACGTGGAATCTAAGTGAAGTGGGGTCTTCATTGGTGTATATTGGTGAAAAGGATCCTCGTATAAGTAATTTAAATAAATCATAAGTGTATAGGAAATCTATTTTCGGATGTACAGTTTGTCGGCTGTCGTCGGGTCGGTGGCCCGCCCGTTCCTCCGTCGTTTGGTTATTTCTTGAATGTTTATTTCTTGATACGGAATGAGGATTAGGAAAACAAAATTCACTAATTTCAAACACATGTGCTATTTATTAGTACTATGTTGGTCGATCGCTTTGATTATAATTATTCGAGTTAGCATTTTTAGCCAACGAACCAGCTTATTGATTAGCCATTCTACCAACTATGATAATTTATTTTCAACAACCAAATCTTTAATTTGGAGATATTGATATAGACCTTGTTCTATTTTGGAAAAATATACATTGGGTTTTTGAATTCCTTAATTTGGTGTCTCTTGTTGTTTTTTTTTTTATTTTTTTTTATTTTTTATGGTCGTCTATGTTTTATTTTTTTATTTATTTGTAACAAATTAACTAAACTATATATATATATATATATATATATGTACATGCATATAATTAGGTGATGTTTACAAAAACTTTTTAAATGATATTAGTTGATGATTGCGAATAAAATTCGGGATAGTAGTTATTTTAAAAGTTGATTGTTTGAAAATGTCTCGAAAAAATTAATTTAAATTTAGATGGCATTTGTTAAAAAAGAAAAAATATATATGAGACTTTTGGTTTTACATTCTGTTTTTGAATGTTTACAAAAAAAAAATATATATATATATATATAAATATATATTTTTCCTAAAAAAAAATAGAATTGTATTCAAGTTCACTAATTTATGTAATTAAACAAAGAATATATATATATATTAATAAAAAAAGAAAAAATAGATTGAGCTAAAACCTCCGAGATTGAACGACTAAGCACAACACACGTGGCAAAACCAATATAAATGAGGAGGAAAGGTCATCTCTCTCGGCTAAGCTCAGTCAGGAGTCACGTGTCTGATCTAAATCCCCACCCCCACCACCACCGGGATTCGCAGCCCCCACCCCTATCCTCCACCACCACCTATTTTTCACTAATTTACCCCCAATGTAGTAACCGTGTATCTATATATTATATATATATATACATACACGACCATCTGTATTGTTTAAGTGGCTCACTCTGCAGTGTGTGTAACAACTTAACGGCGGATCAGGAAACCGAGCAAACCCGCGATTCTCTCCTGTTCGGTTTGCTCTGTTCCGGTGGTCTGCATTTTCTCCTCTCTCTCTATTTATCTCTCCGCCGCTTAGTGCGGATATATAAGGAAGAGAACCTATTACCCGGCGGAAGCTAGGGCTTATTTTATAAATTAATTAATGCCGATGGAATTTGCGTGAGATAACCAGTCAGAGAGAGAATGGCGGCTGCAAGGGGTTTTACGACGCCGTTTAGTGTGAAATTGTTGAGGAATAGCGATTTGGCGTCAAAAAATGGGATGGTTTTGGAGATTCCGAGGAAGAAGAGGCGGTTGTTGGCGGCGGCGGGTGGACTAGTCAAATGCTGCTGTTCGGAGATTCGAGGAGTCCGCCGGTCGAGCAATAATGCTGAGGACTGTGATGAGCGACTCTTCGACCCGAATAACCGACCCAATTATCGACGTCGGGTACCTATTATGCCCTTCGCTTCTCCACAGTATGTTTCCCCTGTTTCCTTTTTTCTTTCCTAATTTATTTAATGCTAATGCTGGTGATTTGTTTAATACTAAATGCTAATAAAATTTTGCTGATAGTGTGTTTCATACTATATGATAATTGGACTAAAATATCTGCTGAAAAGAAATTTGAATTTGGTATATAGCAGATCAAGATTTGCTTCAAAGCAAGAGAAATTTTCGTCTCGTTGCACTCCAAGAAATACAGGCCCTCAGTCCCGTGATTCTCCTCCAAAACGAGGTGATGCATACCTGATTTCACTAATTGCTTAACATCATGTTGAATTTTATTCGGATAAATTCTCTTATTTTAATCAAATTCAATCTTTTGCACTAAATGGCATGAATTTTATTCGGATAAATTCTCTTATTTTAATCAAATTCAATCTTTTGCACTAAATGGTTCATGCTTTGTAGATACTGGTATTGCAAACGAGAAAGACTGGGGCATCAGTTTGCAAAATGAGAATGTGATTGAATCTGGCACAAATGAGGATGGTAGTAGTTGGTACCGTGAAAGTGGAGAAGATCTTGGTGATAATGGATACAGGTGTAGATGGGCTAGGATGGGCGGTCAGAGTCCCGATGCCACTTCCGAATGGAAAGAAACGGTATGTACATTTCATATTGTGTTTTTGTTCGTGTTTGTTATGAACCACAAAATGCAAGGATAAATAAATAAATACCTGTTGAATATTTAAAAAAGTATTTAGGAATTTGTCCCAACAAGTTGTGGAGATTCTTAAAAACTCCCTTGAAATGTCTCTATTGTGCTACATTGACCTTTAAGAATTTTTGGAATGTGATTAAAATATTAATTGAGCCACCGGCAGGATTAAATCAATTATCATTATTCACTCGGGAGGTTGGATAGCATAAACATGAGTAGCATTTCATTTGTAAATCTACTAAACAAACTTGTAGAAAACAAAACAACTTCCAGATGATAAAATGTCCAACATCAACCGATATCCAGTTTTTCTAATTAGAGTATTGAATTTCTGCTTTGCTCGGACATTTTATGTGCATACATATTTTTTTACCTGATATTGTTTTTATAACCTTATTAAGTATCATCCCAGGTGGATGCATTTAATTGGATTTGTTCATCTCCTTTGACAGTGGTGGGAGAAAAGTGATTGGACCGGATACAAAGAGCTAGGTATTGGAATTTGCTTGTGCTATTCTACAAGTCCTTTCTTATTGATCTCCTAGTTCTCTCTTTCATTTCCAAGTCATTACATGAGTCTCAGGTGTCGAAAAATCGGGAAGAAATGCCGAAGGGGATTCTTGGTGGGAAACGTGGAGAGAAGTTCTTCACCAAGATGAATGGAGGTTTTGACTTTGAATTTCCTTGTACACTTCCCTCCCATCTCTTAATTGTATTTATAGTTTATGGTTTCTTCTCCTCACGATTATAAATTGCAGTAATCTAGCTAGAATAGAACGGAGTGCACAAAAACAAGCGAAATCGGGAACAGAAAATGCTGGGTGGTATGAAAATTGGTAAGTTGTTTGAAACTCATAACAAACTTTAAAAATGTTTAATGCGTATTGATTAAAATTGTCCTCTACGCAGGTGGGAGAAATATGATGCCAAAGGTTGGACTGAGAAAGGGGCACATAAGTATGGTAGGTTGAATGAACAATCATGGTGGGAGAAGTGGGGAGAGAACTATGATGGAAGAGGATCAATTCTAAAATGGTATTCCTCGTCCTTTCCTTTATCCTTTCGATCATATTCTTGATACATTCATTTGGGGATCCATCTATTGAAACATTTTTGTTGTGTATGTACAATTATCATTGCTGAAATTTGTTTGGCGAAAAGGGAATAACATTTTGATTTTATTTATATGTTTTTATTGTTCCTAGAATAGCTTGCAAATGTAAATTGATGTTGGATAATATGACATCAATAATATAGCTTATTTATGTTTATATTACTCTTCCTAGGACCGATAAATGGGCAGAGACGGAACTTGGAACTAAATGGGGAGATAAGTGGGAAGAAAAGTTTTTTGCTGGCATTGGTTCGCGACAAGGAGAGACGTGGCATGTATCTCCCAGTAGTGAAAGTATGTGATCAAACTTTTTCACATAGCAATATCATTCTAGACAACCATTTGCTTAATAACAGTTGCATGCACGAGGCTTGTTCATGAATGTTTTCTAATTATTATAGATTAGAATGTAGTTGATGGTTAATGCAGTTTTGCTTTTACTTTATGTGAAGTTATTAACTACTAAAACCTGCTGCATGTTCATGATCTGATAAAAATTATTATGTGCATCATGAACAAAATGAAGAATGTTTGCAAAGCATGTCGACCGTGAACATATTTTATATGTTGTTAGATACTACATGCCTTTTTTATTCAACATCAATGATCTCGAGTTAAATTCATAGTTTGATTTAGTTAGTTTCCTTGGTTCTATTTTTTGGGTTTCTATGAGAAAAAGGTTCGTATTGTTAATTATTTTGATGCTTTTCAAAACTGAATCATTGTTTCACTATCATTCATCGGAAGGGCTAATTGAAAGAGTGTAATCGTGGAACGATAATAATAATACATGTTAATATCGACGGATTTGTGATTATTTGACATCTGACACGGCATTACTCGTTGCAAACTTGCAACTGACTTGCGATACTTATTATTGGCATGCTTTTATTTGGATATTTGTTGCAAATATTTTTTATTTATGTTTCTTGTATCAAAATAATAGGATGGTCGAGGACATGGGGCGAAGAGCACTTTGGAAATGGGTACGTGATGCACAACAAGTAGCTACGCTATGCAAGTTTTTAACAATGTAGTAGTTTTGACGAGTTTTTTGTTTGTTATGACAGAAAAGTGCACAAGTATGGCAAAAGTACCACTGGAGAAAGCTGGGATATTGTTGTAGATGAAGAAACATACTATGAGTGAGTGATTTCGCTCTTATTTCGTATATTCAACTCATCTTTCCCTTCTTAATAGCACTTTACCAATATTTAACTTTGTGAAATTGGAAGGGCCGAACCACATTATGGATGGGCGGATGTTGTTGGTGATTCGTCTCAGCTATTATCGATTGAGCCACAAGAAAGACCACCTGGTGTCTTCCCGATTCTTGATTTCGGATCATCTATGTCTACTCCAATAGACCCACCCGAGGAGGAGGAGCCTTCTGCTTCTTCAGAATGACCATAGAGTTCATTTAATTTAATTTATCTGTAATTGTTTTAAGACTTTTGTCTGTCAGACAATGTTCTCGTTTCTTCATTTTATTTATTCTTTTTTAGTAATTTTTTTTTTTCACATCTTTTATTAGATATTTTTTTAACATCTTTGTCAATGCTAGATTTTTTTTATTTTTTATTTTTTTGCAGTTAGTTCTAGTTAAAAAAATTAAAAAAAAACATTTTTAAAAAAAAAAAGAAAAAAAAGTATAGGCTCTGTTTGGTAAGCTTTTGGGTTTCCATTTCCATTTTATTTTGGGGAAAGATGTTTTGGGAGAAGAATTTGAAAATTAAATAAAGTTTGTTTGTGTTTTGGGAGGAGACAATTTGTACTGTACCAAGTCAAATCATGTCTGAAAGGTGTTGGGAAAAGGTATTTTGGAAGAAGAATTTAAAAAATAAAGTGATTTGATTTTGTATTTTAGTGAAGACAATTTTCACTGTAGCGGTCAAATCATGTTTGTTAGAGAGAGAAATATTTGAATTTGTTTTGGGGAAAGTTTTTGAAAATAGTGTAGAAAAATAATTTTCATTTTGGGAAAAGTGTGAAAAGAATTTGAAAATGCTAACAAACATAACCATAGTAATCAGAAAGCGAAGAGTAAAGGTTAAAATAGGGATCCATCCTCGTGGCTTCTTCGAAAATGTATGCAAGCCCACTAAGAGTGCAATCACTGTTGTCGTCTCAAATCATTAAATATATATATATATATATATAATAATAATAATAATAATAATTTTATTAACAAAAGAAAGGTTCCTAAAGAAACCCTAGAAAACCCAGGTTAATTTTTCCCGCTCATTTGGAGGATATCAATCCAATTTATTTTTTCATATTATTAAATTTCATATAATCTAATAATTAAACACGTAATTAATTAAATATTAATTTCTACTAATTATTTAACTAATCTCCTAAATATTGGCATAATTCTAAATTAATTTTCCCTATTTTGTGTCATTTAATTTAATATAATTAAATCAATTAATTATTCAGATTCTTTCACTGTGACTTCTCTCCTTCTCCCCTGATTCACTTTGATATGCAAAATATTTTTTCATCTTATATATAACACGAAGATATTTTGAACTAAAACCTAAATCTAAACCTAGGGGTAATTTTGATTTTGTTAATTAATATATCTCTGATGTAAAATAATTTGCATGAATATTGTCCTATTCTTTTGGGTAGTGGTATAATTCCACTTCAACTAATATTGTTGATATTTTTCCACTCTTAGTCGGTAGTTTTTTCTTTAATTTTTTTAGTTATTTAATATTTTGGTAGTTCTAGGGGCAGTTATTTTTTTCCCTTCTATATTCCCCCTATTTTTGGATACTTTTGGTGCAATATAAGATTAAAAAAAGTAGAAAAAAACCACACTTTCACACATGATAAGAAAGACGTTAATATAAGATTATTTATTTATTTCTTCTTCTTAATTTTTCACACACGAACTGCCTTCACGGTCGTTCTTCTTTAAAACTTGGTAAACCTATCATGTTCGGTTTTATAAATAACCTCCATGGCCATGATGAATTCCTCGGTTAAAAAACTTCCCACCCAAAGAATTGTGTTATACATACTTACATCTGATTATATATATATAACTTCCGTAAATCGTGTGTTGTATATATATATCTAACGTTATTTCCCTATTTCCCCAGCCCCATCGCTCTCCCACGTTTGGTTTCTTCTCTTCATATCACCATTCACCACGGTACATAATTTAATATTGTGCAAATACCTGTTCAACTAATTTTTATTTTTGTTTTTTAATTTTTTTTCTTGCAGCCACCAATCCGTTTCTTAGCATATTCTTTCCTGCAATATTTGACATATGGTGGCAAAATAATTGTTTTTCGAGTCATAGAGGTAATTGGGATTTTCATATTTCCTGCAATCTTCTGTTTTTTTACACAAAAACGACGGATTTTATTTTTTACGAAAAACTAGGTTATTAAATTTATTCATAATTTTTTTTTCTACATCAATAGATTACTTATGACTCGGGTTTAGCTTTATTTCAAATGTGGATTCTGCATATTTGAAGAAGAAGATCATTTTATGTGAAAGAAACATAAGAGTCTTGCATTCTTATGATTACTAATTAGCCAAATATTATCACCCAAACCAAGTAAATACTCTTTTAATTCGTGGCATTTTGTTTTTGGTGGTCTATTTGTGTATCAACAAGATATGGAACGAGAGAAGTATTCTTATTTCATTTGAGGCTATGTTCGATAAGTCAAATTAAAATAAGGTGAATCTAACTCTCTGACATCCAGAAAGTGATGTTTCGAAATTTGGATTATTAAAGATGTATTTTGAAGAACAATGAATGTAGTCTTATGTCTTTTCATACATTTAAACAGTACTTAGTTCCTATTAGTATAAATATGAGATTTGTGTATTTTCAACAACAAGAGGAAGAAGAAACATGAGTGGGAGGGAAGGTTTGTGAAGAAGAAACAAAGGGGTGTGAGGGGTTTGTGTGTTTGATATTAATGAAAGAAAAATGAGATTTTTTATTTTTGTGTGCTATTGATTTTCCTTAAGGGTATAAATGTCATTACCGATTTATTATTTAGGCGATATTGAAGTGAAACAATTGGTATTTGAATTAACTATCCCCTTTGTTAAATTTGTATTATTTATTATTTAACATATATTTTATATATACATTGACATTTGGTGTATATATATTTATATATTTATTGTAGGAAGAAAAATATATACTCCAATAAAATAAGATCACATCAGCATAATACATATATATATTTCAATATTATTTAATAGATTTTTTATTACAATTTGTACTATCATTTATTTTAACAATTATTTTAGTAAATACATATTATGGCATTTTCTTTTATTATTTTATTTTTTCTCCATTTGTTAGCAGTTTTCCCACTATCTCTAAACTTCTGTCCTTGCTTCAACACACGATGAATGGAACTTCTATTGTATCATCACGTAAAATTAGTTTGCGTAAGTTTTACCATTTAAATGTTGTCGAATTTCAAATGTCGATTGAAAAAAACTTTTAGGCAATTGACCTTGGACGACATTTGCTTTTATGATTTTAACGACGACAAAATTGGTATGCATTTTTTTCCATTTTTCATTTGACAAAATTGGTATGCATTTTTTTCCATTTTTCATTTTTTTCATTGGTTTTAGTATTCAATTACGTTTGGGTTTTGCAAAAAAAAAAATTATTCTGTAAGATTGATTTTACATTACTTAGTTGTATGTGAGTATATGTTTTTTCTTTGGCGAATTATTGTTTGTTTGCAATGGATCAGTTGTAATTTGAGAGGGGTTCATGGACACTTTAGATTGGAAGTTGTTGACTGCCGACTGTTTAAGTATGCATAGCTCTGCCATGGCTGAGTGAATGCCGAGGTTTTTCACCTTTTTCTTCTTTGTCTTCTTCTTATCCTCACAAGGAGAAGAAGAAGAAGAAGGAGAAGAAGAAGAAGGAGAAGAAGAAGAAGGAGAAGGAGAAGAAGAAGGAGAAGAAGAAGAAGGAGAAGGAGAAGAAGGAGAAGGAGAAGAAGAAGAAGAAGGAGAAGGACAAGAAGGAGAAGGAGAAGAAGGAGAAGGAGAAGAAGGAGAAGGAGAAGAAGGAGAAGGAGAAGAAGGAGAAGAAGGAGAAGGAGAAGAAGGAGAAGGAGAAGAAGAAGGAGAAGAAGAAGAAGAAGAAG